TCATACACCTGATGATACAACCTCCACCGGATGTCCCACAGCCGGAACGGAACCCTCCTGTCGTGAAAATATTCTATCGGGTAAGTCTGTTCCCTCAAGTATCGAGAGAGGTTCTCCCTCCTCGCATTCTTGACGACCTGCGGTCTGAAATAGGCCACCTCTAGCAGCTCTCTATACACCGCTCGTTTGATACTCCGCAGGTCCCCCCGGCTAGTACCAAACCATTCTGCCTGGACTTTATGCTGCTTGATGAAGCTGTAGAGCTCCCCCAGATATTCGGGCCCCGTGCACCGCATCGTGGCCGAGACGGCTAAGTCGAGTTGAGGGTGTGCACCAGGGTAGGGTTAGGATTAGGAGAACGAGGTGTCCTGGCATGATTTTGATGGTTGGAATGTGGTTAGAATGGGTTGAAATAATGAGCTGTGCAGAAGAAGCTACTTTTGGACTGCTTTTTCAAAAACACCCTCTTTTCAATGGAACATTAAAAAAAAAAAATACAACCTATATTAGGTTTAGGGGGGTGCACCAGGGTAGGGTTAGGGTTCGGAAAACGAGGCTTTCTGGCGCTATTCTGATGGTTGGAATGTGTTGAGAATGGGAAGAAACGATGAGCTGTGCAGAAAAAGCTACTCTAGGACTGCTTTTTCAAAAACGCCCTCTTTTCATTGAAATATTACCTTATATTAGGGTTAGTGGTGTGCACCAGGGCAGGGTTAGGGATAGGAAGACAAGGTGTCCTGGCGCAATTTTGAGGGTTGGAATGTGTTTAGAATGGGAAGAAACGATGAGCTGTGCAGAAAAAGCTACTATAGGACTGCTTTTTCAAAAACGCCCTCTTTTCAATGGAACATTAAAAAAAATATTGCAACCTGTATTAGGGTTAGGGGTGTGCACCAGGGTAGGGTTAGGGTTAGGAAAACGAGGCTTCCTGGCACATTTTTGATGGATTGGTTCAGAATGGGAAGAAACGATGAGCTTTGCAGAAAAAGATTCTCTTGGACTGCTTTTTCAAAAAAGGAAGGAAGGCACTTGGAAGGAACGCGAGAGGACAGGATCTGTCTTTTCCACAGTGCAAAAGCCAAGGCTGCGTGAATGTGAGAGAAAGCAAAGGGGAAGCATTTTCCCAAACTGTTATTCTTTGCCAATACGTGCAAAGATAAACGAGGAAGGAAGCATGGTGGCGGGGGGAGCTAGCCGCTGGCACTGCCAAATTTAAACCAGGAACAATTAAATGGGAAGGCCAGTGTATTCTGATGTGGGGTACGATATATGAGGGCAATAAACCTTATTCAGGAGGGGCAGGTTGCGATATTTTTAGATAACTGCTATCAATTTTACTTCTAATGGGAAAGGAGGGAAAGGGAACAGATGCGTAGGGAAGAGTTTCACCTCATCCTTCGGGCAGGGAAATTGGGGCAAGTGTGTGTGTGTGCGTGAGAATGCATGTGTGCATGTCTAAAAGAAATTCTAAGAAACTCTGAGCAAAAATAGAGGGAAAGAAGAGACTGTTGGGAGTGAACAGAAGGGACAGATAGTAATTATGCAGCTTTCCAGACTGGGAACAGGCTGTGTGGAATGGTATAAACTGGTGACCTGCAAGAGTGACAATCTTCTGAATCTTGGCCTTTCCAACTCTCTCTTCTCCAGTACACGCGTCGAGTCGTGTGATTGAGTCGAGTCGTGGGCTCCTGCATCTCCCGGGGCCCTGGAGGCAGGCATGGCTCCGGCTGGATGGGAGGCGGTTGCAACTGGCTTCCCCTCCCAAGGCTGGCCAGGCCGCAGGTCGCTTGGCTGAGGCTCCCGTTCTTGTGCACAGGACATTGCAAATGAGGTGTGGCGTCCAGTGACACGTGAACAAGCGGCCCTGGACAGGAGAAACGGACTTGCAGCTGGGTGGACCCTTACTGGCCCCATGACCCCACAAAGGTAATACCGTATAATACTATAGGACTGGGCATGGTGAGTAAACAAATAAGATCAAACGCTGAAGGAGACAGGTTGAACCCGGAGGGGGCACCACCGTGAGGAAACACATCGAGAGGCATCCGCTTGCAAACTGCTCGAGCGCCGCACGCGAGGCGGCCCACGTCATGCAGGGGGTGGGGGCACACTGCCGGACGGGCAAAACAGCATCACGGGGAGTTCTTCAGGGCCTCAGTGGCCAATAGCTGTTTTAATCAAAGGAAGTAGGAAGGGAATAAAATCCCCTGCAGCTTCCACATACTCCCCAAATATCGTCTTTCATGAAGGATCTCATAACAAGGAATGGACATAATGGGAGGAGATTTCCATGGGGTATTTGACGCGGAATTAGACAGGAGCCCTTCCAGTTCCAATCCACTTGGACTTGCAATTGTCTGCTGAACCTAATCAGTTCCAATGACTTGATTGGTTCTTGCAAGTACTAAAATGGAACTGGGAAAGATATGGCTTTTTATTCAGCCTGGCAGAGACCCTGTGCTTGAACTGATCACCTCTTGATTCCCAAAAGCAGCATTGGCTGCTCAGCCCAGTGCACTCCACCCGGACCCCACTGCCCCCCCCCCACCATGGCACGTGCTGACAAAGGAGACACCCCCACCCCACCGGGACTTCAGGAACAGACAGCAAACAGAGGGGACCCTCGCTGCCCCGTTTCCCCCCCTTGTGGCACCTGCCCTGCTCCAGCTGGGCACCCGGCCAGGTGCGGACTGTTTGCAGTCGTGCAGGTAGGTGGGAGAGGTTCCCTCCTTCAGGCTCTGGCCCTCCTGGCAGTCGCTCAGGCAGAGCCCAGCCCAGCCCAGCCCAGCCAGCCAGCCAGCAGCGCGAGGGTAGCAGGGGGCCGGTGGGAGAGGCTGAGCAGGGCAGGGAGAGGGCCAGCCAGGAGCAATTTATGAAATGCAATCAATCGCATTAAAACGATCGATCGTGCGCTCTCCCACACTGGGGACTTTCAAACAGAAACAGGACGGCCTTCTGAGTGGGACAGTGTAATTGGGCTGGCCCCGGTGGCCTTCTGGCCCCTCCCAACTCTACTGTTCTGTGATTCTGTGAGGTTGTCGGATCAAAGGTGCTTTATTCCATATATGATGGTCTTCTGAACATGTGCAAGAGCGATTTGGAGAGCGATTTTCAATTACGTTTCTCACAAAGCAAAAGAGCCGTTCCTGGCATGATAGCCCCTCTCTATTTTGAGGACACCTGAAAGCAGCCGTTGCAGAAAGACCTGCTAGAAGTATTACTCGGAGCGGCAGGGGTGGCTATAGCGTGAGACCAGAAAACAACAGCGGGCTGCCCTGGGAGTGGATGGCTTCCAAAAACCTGGAAGTGGTTCTTGCTGAAAAACTGACACAAAAGCAGCAACTGAGCTGTGGTTCCCCCATCACGTCTCCCGAGAGCATGGTCCTATTTCGGAAAGGTGTGATGGCCAGCAGGGCAAACGAATGGAGAAGCGATTGCTTGTGGGGGTCGCAGAGCTGAAATGGTCTCCTGCAAGGGCTTGGTCGGGACACCAGCCCAAATGATACGCACCACCCGAGATGGAGAATGCAGGGCAAGCTGCGGATGTTGAGGCATTCATTGCTGTATCTCTGTTGCCTTGCGTTCCTCAAGCCAAAGACTTCTTCCCACTGGGGGGAATTTTGTGTATTAATCGGACAATGGCACAGACCCGGCCGGCGGCCGAGCCACCTTCACTGGCAAAGCAGCGGAACATCGCTGCTGCTGCTTCGGCCCCACAGGCAGGCTCTGCATCGCCCACATGTGCCCAGGCCCCCCTTGACCCCCGCAGGGAACGCTTCACGGGGGGCCAGAGAGGGTCTTCCCCAGGACCCGCGCCTGCAGGGGCACGCGCTGCGCAGCCCACCCACCCGTCTGTCTCTCCCCTCAGGTCCAGGTGCCGCTGAGGGCAGGGGGCTTCCTCCAGGCGAGCGGCGGAGGAGTGCCGGAAGATGCGCGGGGCAGGGTCCCCCCCCTTCCCGGCCCGGGCTGGCCTCACACAACGGCACAGGAGCAGATGGGGCGCACCCGTGCCCGTGCCCAGCAGGGCCAGGCAAGGCCGGACCATCGCCAGGCTGGAAAAATCCAGCGGAAACGCTTCCCCAGGCATTTCTTCGGGTATCGGTTCCTGTCCATCCGGCTGTGCAGTCCCCCTGCCGTGGTGACTCCCCACCGTACTCCTCCTCACACAGAATATCCGACTTGGCTTTCATCCTGGCGTCAGTAAAATAACGCTTTGACCAACCCACAGAGAGCGCGGCGCTCGCACAGAGCTAAAGCTTGCGGCTGGGCTGGGCAGAGCCACTTTTATAAGATGGAACCACCGGGGGGAATGCCCAGCCGAGACGGGGGCGCCTGGCAGGCCTCTGAGGGGGCTAAGCCGTAACAGCGGCATCGGCGGCACTGGACTGAGGCGTGTTTTTAGCAAGAGTGGGCACATGCAGTCCCCCAGGCAGCACACGGGGCCCGCAGTGTCTGGACTGCCTTTAATGAGGGCTTCACACGGGGTCCAGGTGGCTCCGCAGGCTCGGGAGCAGCCGCATGTGCCGGGGTCTCCCCCTGCCCCCGCTCGGGTGGGGACAGCGACGGGAGGGCAGCCCAGCCTGCTGCCGAAATGGCGGACTCGGCTTCACCCTCGAACAGCTGCAGCAGGAGGCCCTGGACTCCCCGGAGCGACAGCGGCGGGGGGCCGGCTAAGCCTCTGCGTGCGGGGGAGGCAGTCGGTGCCCCACAGAGGGGCCTTCTGCACCGAGATCTGTGGGCACAAGCAGAGCCCGTCAGCAGGTGGCCTCCCTGCGGCTGGGCCCCAGGTCGCAGTGCCCCAGGCGAGCTGCTGGCAGGCCGCTTGCAGCCGGCCACACGGGGAGGGGGGGCGATGGAGTTGCCGCAGCTGCGGTGGGGGGGGTCCAACAGGCAAAGGCTCGCTGGGCATCACGCAGTGGAGTGGGGAGCCCGGGCTTCCCCCACCATGGATTTGGAAGAGGCAGCCCCCCCCCCTGCCCACCTGCCTTGCCTTGCCTTGCCTAGAACTCCCAGAGGCACTCGCTGGTCACCTCCTCGCCGTCGGCCACAAGGGGCCCCTCCCGGTCCCCGCGCAGGTAGTACCCATTGGGCGCCAGGATGGCCATCAGGTTGTTCCCTCGGATCTCCAGGCAGAAGTTCAGGGCCACCTTCCCCCACGCCTCGACGGTCCTCTCGGGAGTCAGAGACCAGAAGCTCTTGCCATGGCCTGTGAAGAGGACAGAGCAGCCCAGCCGCCTCTTGCCTGCGCCTGGCCGCTGGAAGGAGGCTGCCCAGACAAGACCAGCGAGCGGGGTGCAGGGGGTCCCATTCCAGCCACGCACTGTGCCCCTTCCTCCAGCACCAAGCCCGGTGGGGCTGCAACTCGGGGGGCACAGCCGGGGGGCCCGAGCATCCGTCGCTTCATGGGAATGAGGCTGCCACGGCTGCCAGCTGCCCAAGGCACAGGGTCAGTTGACGGAGGGTCTCCTGGAAGCTCCTCCAAGAGGGCTCCCAGCTTCCGAAAGAAATGTGAGCCAACACAGGAATGCGAATGGAGGGCAGGCCTCTGACCGTGCTCCCTTCCCTTCCCTTCCCTTCCCTGGCAGGAGCTGCAGCCGCCCCTCTGCCCACCTCTGCCCACCAGGCAGCCAAGTGAGCAGTCGCGTTTGCAGGGGTCACGGCGTTCCCCCATGCAAGATGCAGGCGTGACGGCCCCGGTGCGCTGGGGGGTCCTCTGCGGTGCTGGGGGGGGGTGGCATTCTGCCAGGAGCAGTCGCGGGCAGAGACGGGGGAGTGGGTGAGGGGTGCCGCCGGTCCTGCCGGCTTCCTGCCATCTCCCTCCTCGGGGCAGTGTGCCTGACCAGCCCGGCTGCTGGGGAGCATGGGCACTCCCGCCCGCCTGGGGGTCCCTGGGGGCAGCTGGCAGGTTGCTGTGTGAGTAGAGGGCTGGGCTGAGGGGACTCCTGCCCAGTCTGACCTGGCAGGGCTCCCGAGAGGTCCGCAGTGGGGCTGGGCGTCCTGGTGGACGTGCCGCTGCAGTGGGGGGGGGGGCAGGCGCAAATCGGGCCGCGGTCCTGGCAGAGCCCCTGGGCAGGGTGTTGGCAGGTTTCCCAGGCACTGAGGCTGCGCCCATCATTTTTGGAGCTGCATGTCAAGAGCAGAAGGAAGCCGAGCTGGATCCCTCCAAAGGTCTGTCTAGCCCTGCAGTCCGTCCGCAGCCGGGGCAACCTGTGCAAAACCCAGGGAGGACTCGCGCCCAGCGCCTCCGGCCCATGCTCCTCAGCAGCCCGTGTGCCCAGGCGAGCTGCTGTGGCACTCAGAGCACGGGGCTCCTGGCCGAGGAAGGCCTTCCCCAGGACTCGGCCCACCACTGGCGGCCTTCGGACGCCTTGTGGAAGCGACCGCGGCCACTGATCCCGGGGCTGTGTGGAGAAGCCCGTCCTTTGCTCCCTCCGGAATCTCCCGGCAATCCGCCCCATGGAATCCCCCCATGACTGTGGGGAGATGGGAGGGGGCAAACCTCTCCAGCCCACTCCAGGCCTGAGCTGACGGGGCGCACCATGTCCCAACCGCCCCGTCACTCCCCGTCGTTTCTCCGCCCAGGAACCTGAGGCCCGCAGGTTCATGCTCCCCCAGGCCAGCCCCCACCCAGCCCTCTCCCTGCTCTGCTCTGCCTGCAGGGAGACAAATGGCCACCTGCCCCGTCTGGCTTGCTCCCGCTGCAACAGGCTCGGAGCGCTGGATCAGGCCCTCGGCCGGAAAGCCTGGCAGTGTTGACCCGCACAGCTTGCGTTGACTGAAGCAGGCGGGGGCTCTGGGCTGGCCACCCACGCCTGGCCCATCGCCTCGCCCATGCCCCCCGCACGGAGCAGGTTCGCAGTGGGGCGATTCATCCGTCCCCACGGCACAGCGGGGGTTCAGGCTGCCGCTCTGAGCTGCCTCGCTCACGAGGAAGCTCCAGCCATCGCAGGGGGCCTCGCCACCCACGGGCTGCCGGCTGCCGTGAGCCCCAGCCCCAGCGGGCCTCAGGGTATCAGACCCTACCCCCGCGGGGAGCCTTGGCACCAGAGCACCCAGAAGAGGGGCCCGCAGGAGCAGCTGCAGCTCAGGCCCCCCAGCTGAGCCAGGCCACCCCCTTTTCGGCTGCCTCCGGCCCGGCTGGCATCCAAACCCCCTCCCACCCCCGGACAGGCAAGGCTCGCCGGGTGCCCCGTGGAGCAAGGCCACCAGGAGCCGTCCCCGGCCACCCAGCCCCTGCCTCGGAGGCGGCTCACTTCGGAAATGGTAGACGCCACGCTTGCAGGGCAGCAGCTCCACGCAGTCGGGCTCCAGGAGGTCACCGTGCAGGGCCTCCCGGCCCACGGGGCTCCCCACGTAGCCGTGCCGGCCCCGCAGCACCAGGAAGGGGCGGTTTGCCAGGCGCAGCTCGAGCTCCTCGCTGGGCCCTGCGAAGAAGCGTGGAGGTGTGCGAGGGGGGCAGGTGGGAGCAGAGACCCCACCCCAGGCTGCCCCTTCCGGCCCCGCGGTGGCCTCTGGCGGGCGATCGAGGGGGCCGAGGCGCGCCCCGCCTGCCGCAGAAACCCCGCAGCCTCCCGCCTTGCCTCTCGCAGCTCCCTTTGTGCCCCCAGCCAGAGGCCCCTTGGCAGGATGTGCATGTGAGACCGGGAAGGGGCAGCCGGGCGGCCCAGGGAGCCCCAGCCACATCCTCCGGGTGCTCTGTGGAGCGGGAGGGCCGAGTGGCCGGTGCAGCCGGGCCGGCCACCAAGGAGCAGGCTGGCCTCGCTGGGCAGTGGGGGAGGGGCTTCCCATGCCAGGGGAAGGGGGGGCCGGGGGCCAGGCGACGGCCTGCTTGCCCCCGTCATCGCAGGGAGTTGTCCTTCGCCTGCTCCTCTGGGGGCCTCCGGTGGCCATCCCAGCAGGGCCCGGCCTGAGCGGTTGCTGCTCGGCTTGCCCCAGGCAGTGCAGGCGTGGGAAGATCCGCTCCCCCGGGTCAGGGCTGAGAATGGGCCTTTCAGCTGGAGGGGGGAGACCCCAGAAGCAGGGCTGGAGCCATTCACCAATGCCGAGTGGGAGCTCAGGCATCAGACCCCCAGAGCTGGGCGCAGCCCATGGAGATGGAGGAGCGGATCGGGGAGCGGGCACTGCAGTCCCTCGAAACGTGGAAACGGAGCTGCATCGCCGCCCACGCGCCGTGCCTTCGCTCGTTCTCCGGGGCTCCGCAAGGGGCCTTCGCTCGTTCTCCGGGGCTCCGCAAGGGGCGAGCCGCCATCCGTCTCACCTGGGTGCGCCGCGCGGGCCGCCACCAGTCCCACTGGCAAGATGCCCACGAAGCGGCCATTGAGAGCTCTCAGGAAGATCTTCCCATAATGCCACAGGACGTGGAACTTGGTCTCCGGCTCTTCGCGGTAACCATTGGCCATCACGCTCTTGAATTGCCTCTAGGAAGTGGGGGGGGGACACTCTTGGGGGGCCGTCCACTGAAAGGGGGTCATCCAAAATCACTGTCCCATGGCAGAGACCACCCCCCCAGGGTGCACGCTTGCCTCCTGGATGCATGGGGCCGCCCTCCACGTGCCAGGGCCTCCCCACCCCGGGTGGGGGGCTTGGCACCCAAGCCCCTCAGAGGCCACTTCCAGCTCACCTGAGCCAGGTATTTGTGCCGAACATCTTTCAGCTGCACCGTTTTGGTATCTGCGTCAGCTTCAAAGAGGAACGTGGACATCGGGGTGATCTTTTTGGAGCCGGCATACACTTCAGCGTCTGCGAGAGGAGAAGAGAGAAAAGTTGAGGAAGTGCAAGAGAGCCTGGCGGACCCCGAGAAAGAGTGTCCCAAAACATGAACCACATAAACGGGTGGGTTTGTTCATTGTAATGTCGATGTCACCAGAATTGCAGAACGAAACAAAACACGGTGCTGCATTGGAACTGAGCCTCTGGGCAAATCTGGATGCAGACACACCTTGCAAAGGCATTTCCCAAACAGTTACAGGTGCCTCCGCCAAGGCCCTTGAATGCTCTCTGCAATCACAAAACAGCACCCATAAAGAGAGCGTAACTTTTTCTTTTAGTCAACACACTCCTTATGGACTAACTCAAGGCATTTATTAATGAAGAGAAGGCAAAACTTGTCCGTGGCAAAAGATCTTCCTTCGGCTGCTAACCCAGCAGGTCTTTGTGCCCTGTATCGGTCTGGGTTCCAAAAGCTTGGGTCTGCAGGGGCGATGAATACTCTGGGGAAACGAGGGCAGATTCAGAATGAAATAAAGCCAACACGGTTTGCAGTTCCTTGTCCCCCCACCTTCCCCGCTATGGCCTGAAACAGGTCACAAGAACCGGTATTTTGAAAGTGAAACATTAACCGTGCTGCCCTAGGCGCAGTGTCTGGGTTCACACAACGCCGCAGGCGACCTTTGCTTGCTTGTTGTGCCAGCCAAGCGGAGTGGTGGTGGTGATGGACCGCGGTCATGTTGCAGCGGTCTGCTCGGGGCTCAGTCGCTTGGGGCACTGCCTGAGCCAGACAGGACAAGCCAACCTGGCATGGGCTGAACCGCCGGGCAGAGGAGCTGTTGGCAAGAGGGGCCCTGCCAGAAGGCATGGCTGCCCGTGGCTCCCGCCTGGAGCATCCGTCAGAGGTGCAGTGCCATTCTGGAGTCACGGCTTTCGAGCCGGCCGAGCACTGCCACCAGAGCGGCCTGCGTGTCTCACTTCGGGGTGCAAGCAGCAGATCCATTGCTGGCTGCACAATCCAACTCAAAGGGTGCTTCCCAGCAGCTCCTGTTCAGCCAGCACCTGACTTTTTGCGCCTGGAACCCATTATTCCAGGTCCTGCGCTCTGGGATGATTGAGAAACTCCACATTACCTTTCCTGCCCTTTGGCACGCAGACCGCGTTGCCCCATGGATCTTTCCATCTGCAGGAGAGGCATTGCTTACATAAATGTGGGTGTCTGAGAACCTCGTAGAAACACAGAATTGTAGAGTTGGAAGGAGCCAAGACGGCTGCCGGGTTCATCTTGCTCTGTGCAGGACTCCCAGGTAAGCCACCTCAGGGGGTTGCCGAGCTGCATCTCGAGTGCCTCCAGCGTGGGAGAGCCCCCCCCACCTTCCCAGGTCATGGCTTCCGTTGCCATGCAGCTCCAAGAGTCAGGAAATTTGCCCCAATATCTGGCCAAGAGTCCTATGGAGCAGGAAAGGCCTGACATTCAAGCTGATTCCAGACAGAAAGAGCAACTCGAGGTCGCATCGGAAAGGCGTGTTGGCTGCTGGAGAGCACCAAAAGTTTCTGCAAGGAAATCAATCTGTGTTGTAGGAATTGCAGCAATGCCATTACCCGCGTGGGCCTTGAGGCGCTCTGGACGGTTCCAGAGGGGATGGGTGTGCTCCGCGCTTGGGCAGCACTCTGAGAGCCCGATGTTGGCAGAATAGAAGTGTCTCTTTGCTGCCTTCGCTGCCACGGAATAGGCTCAGTAATGAGCACTAACCCATGTTCAGTCAGATTCATCCCAGGTTTTCCTCCACCTGGACTCTAGCCATCTACCCACTCGCTTCGCTGCTGGCAATTCAGTCGCATACCAAGGGGCGGAGTGGGTTCTGCACAGACAGCATTTAGGGGTGATCATGTATACTGTGAAGAGGAACTAAAGAGCTTCTTGATGCAGGCAAAAGAGGAAAGCGCAAAAGTTGGTTTGAAACTCAACATTAAGAAAACTAAGATCATGGCATCCGGTCCTCTCACTTCCTGGCAAATAGATGGGGAAGAAATGGAGGTAGTGACAGATTTCATTTTCCTGGGCTCTAAGATCACTGCAGATGGGGACTGCAGCCAAGAAATTAAAAGACGCTTGCTCCTGGGGAGGAAAGCCATGGCAAAGCTAGACAGCATACTAAAAAGCAGAGACATCACCCTGCCAACGAAAGTGTGTATAGTCAAGGCGATGGTTCTCCCAGTTGCAATGTATGGCTGTGAGAGTTGGACCATAAGGAAGGCTGAGCGCTGAAGAATTGAGGCCTTTGAATTGTGGTGCTGGAGGAGACTCCTGCGAGTCCCTTGGACTGCAAGGCGATCAAACTGGTCAGTCCTAGAAGAGATCAACCCTGCCTGCTCTTTAGCAGGCCAGATACTGAAGGTGAAACTCAAATATTTTGGCCACCTAATGAGAAGGAAGGACTCCCTGGAGAAAAGTCTCATGCTGGGAACAATTGACAGCAAAAGAAGGGGACGACAGAGAATGAGGTGGCTGGATGGAGTCACTGAAGCAGTTGGGGTGAGCTTGAGTGGATTCCGGGGGATGGTGGAGGACAGGAAGGCCTAGAGGAATGTTGTCCATGGGGTCAGGATGGGTCGGACACAACTTCGCAACTAACAACAACAACATGTATACTGGAATCCTGTGTCTAGTTCTGGGCACCAAGATTTAAGAAAGATGCAGAAAAATTAGAAAAGTCCAGAGGAGGGCAACAAAGTGATCCAGCTTTGGAAACACTGCCCTGCGAGGAGAGACTGAGAGAACTGGGCATGTTCAGCCTTGGGAAGAGAAGGCTGAGGGGGACAAGATATCCCTCTAGAAGGACCTCAAAGGCTGTCACCAAGAGGAAGGTCAAGATCTCTTCTTGCTGCTGCCAGAGTGCAGGATCCATTCAAGCTGCAACAGTCCAGGTTCAGGCTAGAAATCAGGAGCAGCTTTCTCACAGTCAGAGCAATGTGACAGTGGAAGCAGCTGCCTGGAGAGGTGCTGGGCTGTCCCACATTGGAGACATCAGAAAGAAACTGGGCAGCCCCGAGTGGGGTGGTGTGAACTGGTGTCCTGCAACAGCAGGGGGTGGACTCGATGGCCTCCCTGTCCCCTTCCCACTCTGCTAGTCTATGATTTTATGTCAACCGCCCGGGCCACTCCACAAAGTGACCATATTGCACACACTGACCTGGGCTTTGACAGGAGTGTCTATCATATCAGCTGGGAATCCCTCAGGGCCTGCTGGAAGCCAACTGATCCACGGCACTCCAGGGCCAGACCAATCCAATGGGTCCCCTGCCCTGGGGGGTGGGGGTGTTAGGTTTTAAGGGTTAAGTGTGAGAGGACTGAGGAGAGATCCCGCCCCTCCTTGATTCCTGACAATGGAGCCATCCTATGATCCATCTTTGTCACCTGATGCATGGCCCGCTTTGGTGGCTTGGGGCACCTTCCACCGGTGTCAGATGGTGGCTCTGCTGCACCCTCACCTAGACAGAGGTAGCCTGCCTTCAATTCTCTATGCTCTTGTGAGCCCTACATTGTGGGACTGCCCTTGAAGATGCTTCTGCAGTGCAGTCGGTGCCAAATGCGGCAGGCAGGTGACTAACCGGGACCCCGAGTCCCAACACGTACGACTGCTCCTGGCCCCCCTGCACTAGCTGCCTGCCTGCTCCTGGTCCCAGTTCAAGGAGTGGCTTTTAACCCATAAGCCCTGGCGTGGTTTGGGGTGACACCACCTGTTGGAGTGCCCCTCTGAGCCGCCATCCACTTCGACAGTGTGCCCCACCTCTGGGGCCTTTCTCCCAGGGAGGCTCGGAGGGTGGCACTGTGGGGAGAGTTTCTCTGCGGCAGCTCTTCCGCAGCGCAGCCTGCCTGGTGCCTGAGCTGTTTCTGGGGCCAGGGTTAGGCTTAGGGGCAGTGCAGAAACGAAGGCGACAAGGTAAGCCACCACCAGTTACTCAGAAGAGGAAAAAGCTGGGCTAGAATGGAATGCAATCGTTTTCCTCAGCAGCAAAGTGACACGACCGAGGCTGTCCTACTTCAGGCACCTCAGGAGAATGCAAGACTCACCGGAGAAGGTGACAATGCTAGGAAAGCTGGAGGCAGAAGAGGAGGAAAACCAGCCGTGAGCTGCACCCATTCCATGAGGGAAGCCACAGCCTTGAGCTTAGAAGAGCTGAGCAGGGCTGTGCAGGACATGACACGACACGACACAGGCAAAGGCTTCCCTTCAGAGGGCTGCCATAAGTCAGAGAGGGCTCCATGGCACATTACGGTCGTTTGCTTATGTAAATATTTCGCAGGCAGTTTAAAATGAATTCTGTTGTAATGGTTGTGTTTATTGTGCCAGGAAATGCTGTGAAATGTGAGGCACTCTGCTGGATCAGACCAAAGGAACACCTTGCCCAGGTGCCTCTCAGGAGTTCGTGCTTCAGGTGCTTCTCCATACCTGAAGGCTAAAGTCGGGACTGCACAGACCACCGCACAGATCAGCACGGAAGGCCCGGCAAACATTTCCCTCCTTCCCACTTCCTCTCCTTAAAAGAGGGACGGGGCAGGTGACACGCACAGCCCTCGACACTCCACGGCGCACCCGCATCCCGAGGGTGCCCCGGTTCCCTCAGCATGGCGGGGTTCCAGACAAGAGCCTGCCCTGTCCACTTGAGAGAAGCTGCATCCAGCTCACGGCCCGCCAGCATCTCTGGGCCAGGCATGGGGTCTACTTGCCGCAAAGGACGCTCATGTATCTCTTTGCCCAGGTTTTCAGGCTGACCCACTGCGGACACCTCTTGATGACGAACCACTCCTCGTTGTCCTCGGGGCTCTCGCCAAGGCACAGGAGCCTGCGGCTGCCCCGGGGGTACAAGACGCGCCCGTCCCGGTCCGTGAGGCACACCAAGCAGCCGGGCCTGAGGTTCAGGTGGAAGGCCGTCTCCGCGGAGGCCTTCTTGGCCAGTTTCTCTAATCTAGAGACGAACTTGTGGTTGGAGGTCTCCAAGTGGCAGACCCCGTTCCTGAACCTCAGGATGAAGCCGCACTCCTCAGGGTAAGCCACAGGGGTGTCCACCCAGACCCGGTTCAGCTCCGGATCTGTCCGAGCGTAGAGCTGGCTGCTCGGGTTGAACAGGACCACGTGGACGTGCATGGCCAGTTGGGGCATCCACATGTGATGGGAAGTCAGGTTGTGCGTGACACAGAAGACGTCCTCTCCATCCGACTCCAAATACCTCTTGTTCTCCAGCTGCTGGAGGGTCCATGCCCCGCTTGGATGCACCTCCAGCAGAAACTGGCTCTGCTTGTTTGACACTGGCTGCCCACACCGAACGGTGCCATCGATATCCACCAGAAGGTGCCGTCCTTGGTGCCCAACCAGCGCCACCACCATCTGCTTCCCGTGCTTCGTGGCGACCTTCAGCTCCCAGGTCTGCAAGGATCAAGAGAGGGAGTCACGGAAGGACCCTCTGGAGGCTGCAGAGTCTCATGCACGGAGATGGCTGCAGGCGGGCCGTGATGCCTCCCCATCCCCTCACCCCCTTTGCTCAGTGCCCTCGGGGCTATGCGCCAAGGGAGAAGCAGGGGCCTCTCCCGCCAAGCACACTCACTCCGATGTGCCTCAACCCCCAGCAGACGGTGGCAGGGGAGCCCGGGCAAAGCCTGCAAAGGGGAGGGCCGGCTGGTGCAATGAGGCCACAGCCTCCCCCCAGTGGACCAGAGAGCACCGGGACAGGCAGCCGGCGATGCAATCTATGGCGGCGTCGCAGCAGGGTTGGCAGATGCCCACCGGGCAAAGGCAGCTTGTGAGCCGGAAGGCCCAGGCGGGCTCCTCATCCCCACTTATTTGGAGTGACTTTCATCCTCATCTAAAAAGTCTAAACCATCAACAGGAAGGGCCTGGGCAGCACCCAGCTTGGCTGCGGGGGGGGGGGGGGGGGGTTAAAAGCACAGGCAAGGCCATGCTGAGGGACGGGCACGTCCCCGGAAGGGAGACCTTGCTCAGGCCACTCAGAGGACCCGGAGGGCTCCCAGCACGTGCTACCTTTCCTGAAGCAGCTGTGACCACAAACTTCTGCTGGCTTCATGAGGAGACACCCCCAGAATGGAGCCGGCAACCTGCGGCCCTCCAGCTGTTTTGGACAACGGTGCCCAAAGTCCCTGATCATGGGCTGTTGGCTGGAGTGAGAGGTGCAAAACTGCTTGCCACCCCCCGCCCCCCCCCCGAGCCTGGCAGTTTGCTGGTGTCTCCAGATGCCCAGAAGCTGGGAATGCAGGTTGCCTCTGGGCCCGTGCAGAGGACAGGCCCAGGAAAAAGGTAGCAGGTGCTGCTCCGCTTGCCCGTTGGCTGGCTTCTCTTTCAACCGGTTGGGTGTGAGAGGAGAAGTGAGATGAAGTAAGACGGATCCCTGCCCCCCCCCCCCCCACCACGGGGAAACCTGCACCTCACGCATCCCACAGTGGGAAGGGGCTCCCCGCCCAGGCAGCTGCTTCAACCTCCCTTACCTGCTTCTTCCCCAACGAGTTCCCCAAGACACTGACGCCATCACCGTAGCATTCACCGGTCAGGTACCCCCCCGTCCAGTTGACCAGCCCGATCTGCATTGCTGCCAGGCCCCGGGGCGGCAGCTGGCAGGGTTGAAGGCAGCCGGGCACCTCCCGTGGGCACCCCCCTGCCCAGCATCTGGCTGGCGAGGTCACAGCAGCCCTCCTGATGGCGCCAGGGATGCGGCCAGGCAGGCTGGCCCTGGTCCTGGCCCTGCAGCGGGCGTGTGCCCGGGATTCCAAGAGGGGCCAGGCTGCAGCCGGCTGGCCTTTGTGAATCATCTGCAGTCTTATGACATCAGCAGACGGAGCGGGCGGCCAAGGTGCTCGTCTCGTCGGTCTGCAAGCAGAGCCCTCGCCTTGGCCACTCCAGCTGCAGAACGCCTGGAGATTGGCACCCGTTCCTGTCCTTTGTGCCACAGGCGAGACCCTTCCCCAAAGCTGACCTCTGGGCCCGCTTGGCTCCTCAGGCCTCCCGCTCGAGGGTCACAGATGTGTGGCCACCATCAAGGGGGAGGGCAACCAAAGTGAGCCCCGCTTTCAGAAGGCTCCTCCCCAAGCGGTGGAGCCCAGGCATGCTCATAGGGAGGCGGATGCTACAAGAGGTTCAACAAACTGCTCTGTGCATTCCGGGTGTTTTGTACTCTTTGGGCAGTAAAGAACATTTTGCAAGGAGAAGGTCTGCAGCTTTTGCACGTGTGAAGGAGGAGCCCAGTTCATGATGGAGCACAGAAGAGGCGTACCGCGTGGCCCTCCCCTGCCCAGCCACTCTGGGGAGGCTTCCCAGAGTTAGGAGTGCCTTGTTGCCCTGGGAAGGCCTTAGAGCCCCTTGGCCTTTCCAAAAATGGGAAGCAGGCCAACGAAGGGCGATCCATCCCCACATGGGTCGAGCAGGTGCTCGCAAGCATGGTGTGAGTGCCGGCGCAAAGTTCATGGCGGGGACATAAGCAAAGGGCCTGTGATACTGGAAAGCAACCACAGGACAGTGGGAGTCCTGCCCCCCAGGGACTTTAAAGTCTGCTCCTCCTTTAAAGCCCTCGAAGCTAATGCTCATTCCTCCATCGAAAGCCCAAGTCCGCCTCTGCGGGGGGCAGGGCGCAGGGCCATCAGGTCCAGCCCCCAGCTGTATGGACCCTCCGAGCTGAAGCACCCGACAGGTGGCGTCCGGGCTGAGTTGCCACTCTGCGGGGAAGCCCACTGCTCCTTTGGTGACTTGCTCCATCGTGGAAATGCTCTAGCAGTTGTGCCGTTTTTCCTAATGTTCAGCCAGAATCCGGCTTAATGTAACTTGAGCCTGTTATTCCATGTCCTGCAGTCTGGGATGACCGAGAAGAGATCCTGATATATTTAGGATATAAATAAATATTTATTTATACATTCATATGCTGTGCCCATAGCCAGAAAGGCTCTCTGGGTGGCTTACAATAAATAAAAAAACAATAATACACCAATTAAATAAAAATCAATTAAAACAATGCGAGTAAAACAACAGAAGAAAAAACTATCAGTTAAACGAGCAACAAAATTTTAAAGAATAGAAAAAATAATTTTACTGGTTTCGGCACCAGGTAAAGACCTTTTTATTTAAACATCATTTGAATTGTTAAAACATATGATCTGGCCAGGGCAACTTCTTCTTCCTTCTCTTTCTCCTCCTATATTTTTATTTACTTAAGTTATACTGATAATTTTAATCTTATATTTGTAAATCAATGTATTTTTTGTATTTTGTATTTAATGGTAATTTATTATGTGCTATTGTATTTCATTGTATTTTATCGTGTTGTAAGCCGCCCCGAGGTTTCGGCAAGGGGCGGCATAGAAATATAATAATAATAATAATAATAATAATAATAATAATAATAATAATAATTTGCAGTCAAAAACTCTCCAGAAAGCAATCGCAAGATCCATAGACTACGCTAAACCAAATTAATCGCCAAAGCAGCTACGGAACAGAAAATGTCTCGGCTGGCGGCGAAAGGCCAGCCGCCCCTTCCGAGGTGGGGCAGCCCGGGGCCTCGCCCCGCGGGCGGGCTCCTTCTGCCCAGCGTCGGCCCGGGAGCAGCGGCGCCTCCCCGGTCTCCGCCGGCCTCCCTCCCGCAGCCGCCCAGCGCCCCGCGGGAGCCACGCCGGCACGAACCCCGACGGAAGCCTGCGCGCGCAGCGCCCCCGCCCAGGGCTCGCGCCCGCCCCCGACCACGCCCCCGCGCCTCGTGCGCGCGCCGGCCCCTCCCCTGCTCGGCTGCCTGGCGCGCGCGCAGACCGGCGGACCAACGCCACGCCTTGTGCGCAGGCGTCGTCCGGGCCGCGGGGGTAACACGGAAGGGGCGCCGGGGCGGGCCGGGCCGAGCCAAGCGGGGCCTCCGCGGCCGGCGAAGGAGTGCGGCCGGGACCCGCGCGGCACGGACCCGGGAGGGGGCGCGCCCGCCGCGAGGGCGGCCAGGGCCGGCTGCGGGTCCTGCGCGCGGGTCGGGGGCCGCTTCCGGGGCCGCGCTGGGAGACGTGGCCCGCCTCGCCTCGCCTGCCCGGCTTCCCTTGCGCGGGGCACGTCAGCCAGCTCGGCGCCGCGGCTCTTCCCGTTCGGGCCTTCCGCGCGGCCCCCGGAGCCATGGACAAGCTGGGCGTGAGCTTCGGCGGCGGCGGCGGCGGCGGCCCGAGCAGGAAGGAGCTCTTGGAGACCGTGGAGCTGCAGCGGGCGCAGCTGCTGCGCTACCAGACGCGCCTGAAGGACCTCGTCCGCGCGTACCGGAGCGTCCTGAAGGAGAAGGAGGCCCTGGAGGCCAGCCTGCAGGTCCTGTCCGCCTCGCCCGAGCCGGGCGCCGGCCTGGGCGGCGGGGCCACGCTTGTCCTGGGCGCGGCCGGTGCCGGCGCGGGGCCCGGCGAGGACGGGGGCGACGCGCCCAGTGAGGACGGCGCGGGCACGGCAGCCGGCTCGGCCGGCGTCAGGGGCGACCCGGGCGGCGCGGAGGAGGAGGAGGAGGAGGAGGAAGAGGAGAGCGCCACCGCCATCGCGGCCGCCGCTTCGCCGTCCAGGTCGGAGGAGACGAGCGGCTCCGAGAGCGGCGTCAGCTGCAGCAGCGGCGACCTGCCTGCCGCCGCCGCCGCCGCCGGGCCCGGCGAGGCCGACAAGCGGCTGCTGCAGCTGAAGACGCAGCTGGCCACGCTGACCGGCGCCTTGGCCACCGTCGCGCAGGAGAAGTCCCGCATGGAGGCCTCCTACCAGGCGGACAAGAGGAAGATGAAGCAGGAGATGGAGGAGGCCGGCCGGCGGGCCGCGGCCGAGGCGGGCGTCCTGGGGGCCGCGCTGGCCGAGGCGCAGCAGCAGCTGGCGGAGACGCGCGCCCGCCTGGCGGCCCAGCAGCGCGATCGGGCGCAGGAGCAGAGCGACCACGCCGTGATGCTGCACGAGCTGCAGCGGCTGCTGCAGAGCGAGCGCAGCCTGCGGCAGGAGGCCGAGTGGAGCCTGGAGGAGGCGCGCGAGGCGCTGGGCGCGGGCGCGGGCGCGGCCGAGCGCGCGGAGGACTCGGAGCGCCGCGCCGGGCAGCTGAGCCGGGAGCTGGAGGCGCTGAGCGGCGAGCTGCGGGCCCTGCGCGAGCGGAGCGGGCAGCCCAGCCCGCAGCTGCGGGAGCTGCAGGCCGAGATGGCCGCCCTGCGGAGCCACGTGCAGGCGCAGCTGCTGCAGGAGGTGCGCAAGGTGAGCGGGCCGGCGGGGCCTCGGCGGGCGGCAAGGCAAGGCGCCGCCCTGGCGCCCGGGGCTGTCGCGGAGAGGAGCGTGGCGGGGGGGGGGCAGTGGCAGCCCACCGTGGCTTAAAGCTGCTGCTGCCGGGAGTGAGACCCTCGCCGGTGTTCCAGTATCGGTTGGGCTTGGCCTCCACCCTGGGACCTCCATTTCTGCTTCAGAGGCTTGTGTAGTTGGGCCTTTATCATCCAGAAAGAAAGCCGCCTGGGGAAAACGGCGTTTTCTTGGTGCCCGTGGCAGGAAAAAGATCCGAGTCCTTGCAAATAATGGAGAGGGTGAATTGCTCCATCTCTCTCTCAGCCATCAGCAACTGGTGTTTTCTTCTGGTTAATCATTCTGGAACCAGAGTTCTGTTCATTTCTTGGGCATCTCCCAAGTCATTCCTTGGCCACACAGTGGTTGATTAAAAGGCAGTCTGATGCAAGTTAGCTACGTTTTGAGCTCTCTTCTGATGCCCCTTGGTCTTTTTACAGCAACAACAGGCTGGCTCTGCTTGGGCCACCCCAGCTCTGGATCCCTTTCCTGGATGCTTTTGGCCAGTGCAGTCCTTGTCAGTGCTGTTTGCCTCGTGTGCATTATTTTTCACTTAATGAACTGCATTTTCCACTTTCATTTAGTTTGGAAGGACCCTTTGAGAAGCCCTGATAGTCCACTTTGATTGTTATCTTCTTGGCTGTCATCTCAGATAATTCGAGAGCCTCAAGAGATTGGGCCAGGTGCTTGGGTGCAGAGGGAATCTCATAGGCAAGATGTTCGGCTCGGTAGCAAGGGTGGCCCATGTCCCTCATCCAGCCAGGCTTTTGACTTTCCATGGGTCTTACCATATGTAGCTCCCTCCCTGCCCCAGTGCACCGAGGTTAATTTACTAGCAGGAGTGGAGCAGCAGCCTGGTTGAGGGTCACTAATGGGATGCCCACGTGGGAGCTTACGTGGGCGAAGGCAGCTGGAAAGGGAAGTCCTCAGAGTCTCTGGCAGAGCGTCTGGCCAAAGGCTCCCTGTACGGGGAGGCGGGGGGGGGGTTCTCCCACTTTGTAAGGACAGCAGACTTACTCCCTTTTTGTCTTTTGCTGTCAGACTGCACAAGCGGAGGAGCGGGTCCAAATGGAAGAGCAGCGTGTTGCCAGCCTGGAGGCCCAGATTTCAGAAATGTCCGAGCTTCTGGGCACCTACGAAAAATCGAAACAGAAGGACCAGATGGCCATTCAGAAGCTGAAGGAGCGCATCGTCCAGCTAGACCTCGAGAATAAGACACTGGCCATTGCTGCCGCTGGCCGATCTCCCATGGACGCAGCCATCGAGGAGAACAGCCTGGATATCACCCTGCTGAAAGATAAGATGGAGGTGCTGAGGCGACTGCTGCAAGCCGCGGCCAAGGACAGTCCCTCCGCTCGGGACACGGAAGCCTTCTGCCAGATGGAGGCCGGAGACGGCGAGAAGGCCACTGCTGCCTACTACCAGCAAGAGCTCAAGCAGCTGAAGGAGGAGTTCGAGCGGTACAAGCTGAGGGCTCAGGTCGTCCTCAAAAGCAAGTCCGCCAAGGACGGGAACCTGGCCAAAGAGCTGGAGGATGCGCAGGAACAGCTGGCAGAGCTGCGGGAGAAGTATGTCTCGCTTCGGCTCTCCTGTGAGGAGGTTGCCAGGCAGCACCAGGACGCGATGGAGGCCAAGAGGCAGGAGGTCACCCGCCTCCAGCAGCTCCACAGGCAGGAGATGGAGAGAGCCCAGGCTGACTACAGGGAGAAAGTGCTCCAGCTTGAGGGAGAGATGCACAGGCAGCGGGACCGTGTGCTGGCCATCCTGGCAGAGAAGGACCAAGAGCTGGAGCAGCTGAGGGCTGTGCCCTGTGGGCCGAGAGGACCCCTGCCAGGCCCTGGGCCAGGACCTCAGGCAGGCTGCGGTGGGGGACAGGACTTGGCAGGCGCCGACTCGCTGGAGAGCCTTCCACAGGCGCTGGCCCTTGCTGCGCCAAGTGAGCCTGCTTTCCTCTTGTATACGGAGCAGCTGGCTCGGAAGGGGGTGGAGGTCCTGGCTCTGAAGAAGCAGAGGCGCAAACTGGAGACGGAGGTCCATCGGCTGCAGGAGAGGCTGCTGGAGGAGGAGGAGAGGCACAAGGAGGAGGTGTCGGCACTCCAGGACCACATCCAGAAGAACTTCAGGGACCAGTGCAGGGAGGGGGCCAACCTGGAGTACCTCAAGAACATTTTCTACAGGTTCCTCACCTTGACGGACTTGCTGGGTCGACAGCAGACACTCACTGCCATCTTGACCATTTTGCATTTTAGCCCCGAGGAGAAGCAGGCTGTCCTGAGCCACTCGGGTAGCAGCAGCTGGTGGCATTCCGCGAAGAGGTGAGGCCCTGCTTTCCATGGGCAGCCGGGTGTTGAGAGGGGCCGCCTGCTTCCCAGCTCTCAGGAACGGTTTCTGCTCCCAGGGTGGGAGGCCCTGCGGACCAAGTGCCGACTGGTGCCTGCAAGAGATCCAGTCCCTGGGTTCATCAGCTTGCTCTGAGAAGCACCTCTGCAGGGGGTGGGCTGCAGGGGAGGGTTGGTCTGTGCCTAGGATCAGGCTCAATGCGAGGTGTCCAAGTTTTCCAATGGCATTTCAGTTTGGGAGACTGCTTCTTACTTTATCAAGTATTTTTATGTTGCCAAAAATGGAAAGAGAAATTGTTGAGCTGCAGTTGCCATTTTTCTTGGTCTGAAGCTGCAGGCGCAGTTTTTCTAACCCTGCGGATGTAGGAGGAGATGTGGCTGTGGAGCCCAGTCCGGTCCCTGTCAGGTTGTGTAATATGGAGGGGCCTCAGCAGGGCTGTGTGGGGGCTGTTTGCTGACGGGCCACCTGTGGGTCTCCTGGGCCAGAGCTGACCCACTGCTTCCTCAACAGTCGTGCCTCCCCCTTGCCGTCAGCCTTCCTGGCTGCCCTGGCCCTTTGTGCCCTGTGGCCACCCAGCTCTTCTGCCTGTCTCGTTTGTCCGGTTCTGCGCACAGCAGGTGGACAAGGCTGTGTGCATGTTCCCAAACTCACTCTTGCACCCGAGGAGTGGAGAATGGCCGTCGTAGCACCCATTTTCCTGGGAAGAGTGCCTGGAGGGCAGGCCGGTTAGCGTAACACTTGTCCTGAATAAGCTGCTTGAAAGCACAATTGAAGATCGAATCTGTATACCCGGAGAGGGGCAAGCCCTGCTGGAAAATGATCAGCATGGCTTCTGCAAGGGGAAGCCTTGTCTTGCTGCCCTGTTGGAGCTCTTTGAGAGTGTTACTAAGCATGCAGATGGGGCCGTCCAGGAGACCTTTGCTGCCAGAATGCTCCCGCTGCAGCGGCTCACTTTCTGTGCACACCTGTACGTCCATCCTCCCCCAGTCGCAGCTCCCACCCCCAGCCCTGGTGACTGTTTGTGGCCAAGGCCACTGCCAGGACCAGAACTGGCCCAAACCCTCTTGCTCCTGCAGGTAAAGGACAAGATGCCCCCCGCCCCCTGCATCTCTGCCATTCCCCACAGAGAAGTGAACCGGGTAGCTTGCTCTCATGTCAAACTGTCATACCACAGGGGGCAGCCAGCTGTGCTGGGTATATTACCCCCCCCCCCAGCTTTGTCCTCCAGCATCTGCCCATCATTCCATGCCGCCTCCTGTCTAATGGCAGAATTGCCCCTGCCCAGAGCCAAGCCCCCTCCCCCTTCTGCAGGGCACAGGATGCACCCCTGCCCTTGCCAGCCCTTCTGTTCCCAGCCATTTCATTCTGCATGGTGGTTGTCTGTGCCTACGAAGTGACTCCAGCTGCTGGAGGCTGGAGAGTGCCCCCGTTCCTGGCCCTGCGGGTAGGAGAGGAGCTGCTGCATTCTGGCCTGATCTCTTCTGCTGGAAGAGGAACCATCCCACAAGGTAAGGCTCATGCAGCCCCCTTTTCTCCCGCTGTGCCTCACGCAAAGGCCGATTCCCTGGGCAGGTCATTCCCTCTGGTCCCAAGCCTAACCAGCAGGGGCTGAGGGAGCTGGCCACTGCGCATGCCTCATGGCTTCCCATGTCTCAAGCCCCCACCATGGCCGCATCCTCCTGACTGCAAACCGTCTGGGATTTTGGGCACCGCAACAGGCCTCTAGAGCCATATTCCCCAACGCAGGAGCTCAGCTATGGATCGTGCCACGAGCCCTTCAAGCCAGTGTCCTGGTTCCACATGGGCCAGCCAGGAGCTTCTTGGGTGCCCAGGCAGTCGGTTCTGGCCACAGAAGGTCCACCTAAGCGGCTATGGCAGAGCAGTGCCGCTCCCGCCGTTGCGCCGCCTCATCTTGCCAGCCATGAGCCAAAAAGGTCAGTGACTGCGGCCCAGCCAGGGCCCCAAGGCAGCCTCCTTCGGCCCAGCATCCGTCCACCTGCCTTCACGCAGCCCCGCAGCATTTTTTCCACAGATGTACTTGCCACCAACCTCCTGCTTCTGAGCCAACAGCCTCGGCCACAACGGGATAACGCAGGACGAGTCCCCTCCGCTGGCGGGCAGCCAGTAAAAGCCAGGCGGACCAAAGGGGAAGACTTGGCAGCTTGGCCCAGCCTGCCCCTTCAGGCCACCTTCCCTGTGCATCCAGGCCGTCACAGAGCGAGGCGTGGGGGGGGGGGGGGCGCCGAGCATGCGTTCAGGGCAGAACAACACAGCTGCGGAGCATTACCACCAGTGGGGGCCGTGGTGAGGTAGAAGAAGGGCATGCTAGAAGCATGGCTGCAACTGGCCAAGCCCCTCTGCCGCAGCCAAGGAAGGCTGCCGCAAGGTGGCTGGGATGCAGGACACAGAATAATCAAGTCAAGTTGCAACACAACCCAGATTCAGGCTGGGCATTGGGAAAAGCTTCCTCACTGTCAGAGCAGTATGACAGTGGGACCAGCTGCCCGGAGAGGCGGTGGGCTCTCCCACACTGGGGACACTCAAAAAGAAACGGCAGCCATCTGAGTGGGGTGGTGCAAACGTGTCCTGCAATAGCGGGGGGGGGGGGGGGACCCGAGGGCCTTCATGGCCCCTTCCAACTCAGTACTATCGGATGATTCTAGCAGCCCTGCTGGCTGCCCCAGACACTTGGCGGTGGGCAGCTATGGCTGAAACGTGGCTCCAAGAGGAGGAGAACTGGCAGACCAGCTCCTGCCTGGGTGGGCACCAGCCTCAGGAGCTGGCCAAGCAGGCTAGCAAGCCCTCTTTGCAGGAGCAGAGCCCCAGTGGAACAAGGCCACTTCACCGGGGGCTCAGCAAGCCCCCCTTCCAGCTGCCCTGCCCAAGACCCTGCCAGTGGGTGGAACAACGGAAGGGGGCCCCACCAGCTTGGGCAGGGAGCCCGGTGCACTGCCTCCATGTGACAGGGCAGACTGGCACCTGCCCTTCTGAACAGGAACCGCTCAGCTGCAGCAGGAGGGAGACTCCGGAAGGGCTACCTGGGGCATACTGAGCACACAAGACAAGGTAATTCTGGGACTCCGCCAGCCCTTGGCTAGAGCACCAGGAAGCGTCCCTGAACATACTGATTCTCTTTGCCTGCTGGCTTGAACGACGATTGGGCAAAAGTGGAGACATTTCAAGGCAAGCTAAACAGGGAACACTTCTAAAAAAGGAACATTTACTAGCTTATCTTGGGAACGCAATGGATCACTGCACAGCAGGTACATGTACACACACATGAACACACGCTCCTTTTGAGGGGCTGCTCCCCAGCACCCCATACAGGCCAAAAAGAAGGTGCTAGTCCAGGCGGCACCCCAGCATGCTGCCCTCCTGGGTCACCCAGCGGCACGTCAGGTGGCGCTCTCCCCTCTTCCACACTCCGGAGACGAGACGTGGGGCAGCACAGAGACCTCCCAGCCAGTCCTGCTGCACAAGCTGAGGACTCAGGAAGCACCCAAAGGATCCAGCGGAGGCCCAGCAAGCGGAGGAGTCCCTGTGGGAAAAGCCTCCTCCAAGGCAGCCCCCTCTCACAGCACTGCATCCTCTTGATTCGGCAGGACCAAGTCGAGCAAGCGCTTTACAGGGAAGCCCCACCAATGGCTCTCGCCAGTGTGGCTCTTCCGGCACGGGCGGCTTACTGGTGGCACAGGACAGCCTGGAGATCTTCTGGGAGAGACCCGACGATGGTGGTGATGTACTGATCCACCCGCTGCAGGGTCTCCTCCTTCACGGGAAGCAGGTGGCACCGGGCCCGCATCTGCAGGGGACACAAACGTCAGGCAAAGCACAAGACCTCCTCTCGCTTGCCCTGGCGCCAGGAAAGACGCCTGCTGGGCTGGGGCACCAGGCAAGGCTGCAGCACTCAAAATGGGCAGGCCAAGTGGCGTCCACCCGCATCAGTGCACAGAGGGAAAGAAACCCACAGAAGCAAAGCTGAAGAAGCCGCTCCTCTGTACGCCATTCGCATGCCGCACCACTTCCCTTACTACCCTCACGCCGCATGGCTTCTCACATGGTCTGAACCAGTGAGGAGTTCAGCAGGGCAGGCCAAGAAACCCGCAAGCCACTGGGTTCTGGGGCTGTCGTGCAATGACAACTCATGATGGGCACCTGGACTCCTTTTCCCGGGGTGGTCTGTCTGAGGACAGCAACCCACGGGTTGTCCTACCCATGGTGGGTTCTCATGACACTTGAGCCCTTACAACTGACCTCACGGTGGGTACAGGGGCTCAGGTACAGAGGCACCTGGCCTGCTGCTCCCGCCAAGCAGCTCCTGTGACTTGCGGTGCCAGGAGCCCCGAGTGCCCAAGCAGCAGTGCGACACCAGACCCAGTTGCCGAATTGCTGTGAGATGTCCAACACGAGACGCTGGACAGCCCTCCGGGTGGGGTGCTGTGAACTGGCAACCTGCAACAGCAGAGGGTGGACCCGAGGGCTTCTTGGCCCCTTCCAGCTCCATTCTATGATTTTAATTCCATGACACCGGCTTCCCCTGTTCCCCAGTCAGAGGACATGTTTTCCCACTTAAGCCATTCTTAGGTATTGTAAAACCCAGCTGCCAAATCCATGTGGTGACGTACCTTCTCTCCCCCCCCCCCCCGCAACTCTCAGTACTTGGGAAAGTAAGAAAATGCTCCCCCATTTTTGGGACCCTTTAAGGGGGGGCCTGCTACAATGAGTGCCTTTCAACAGGACTTGCGGCTGTGCACGTCCAAGTCACGAACCGCCATCGTGTGGCTAGAACACAATTTTCAGAGGGAGCCAGAGCTTGGACTAGCTCTTCCCCAGGAAAAAGGGGCGGCACTTTCTGGAGCTACCAGTCCTGGGAAGGAGCGCAGCATGTGCATCATGCCCATATTTATCGGGAAGGGGGACGGGGACCTGGTGGGAAGGAGATGTAGCTCGCACCACACCCTTATTGGTACAAGGACCACCTGTGCTTTGCTTCTCTCCTGAGGGTTCGCCCTTTGGCAGCTCTCGAGAGAAACAAAAGGACACAAAAACAATCGGGAAGATTGGTGCTTGTTTCGTCTCGGCTGCAGGCATATTCCTGGGCATTGGTCCAGCTTAAGGATTCCTGCAGTCATGCATGTGTGGTTACATTTTTAAAAATGGAATAATATGGTTTCGTACATTTTTTCATGCCAAGACAAAACAGAAACGTGATTCTGCCAACTATGGATGATGTTTCCAAGGTGCTCCTTGGGCACTTGAAGGAGCTGTCAAGTGGCTGCCAAAATGGGGTTGTGAAAGCCATCCGTGAGGCCAGCTTTTGGAGTCTCCAAGGGGAAAAAACAGGAGGAGGAAAAGAGCTGCAGTAAACTGAAAATATGATGGAGAACTGGGGTGATCCATTCCTCCCAGAGCCTTGGGAGATAGGCAGGCAGGGCAGGGCAGAAGTTGGACCAAGGCATGGCAGCCAAACGGTTGGAATGTCCCCATCTGGACGGCAAGAGGAAGCAGAGCTCTGCCTTGTGGGGAAGCCCCTGCACAGAAACCAGCAGAGTTCAGCAGCGGAGGATTTTCACAGGATCCTGCAGGTGTGTGGTTCTTCAGAGATCACAGGATCGTGGGGTGGGAGGGGGCCATGGAGGTCCGTGGGTCCATCCCCTGCTGTTGCAGGATGCCATGTGACACCTCCCCACTCAGGTGGCCATCCAGTTTCACCTTGAATGCCTCCAGTGTGGGAGAGCCCAGGACCCCTCCAGGCAGCTGGTTCCACTGCCGTATTGCTCTGACAGTGAAGAAACCTTTCCTGACATCTAGCCTGAATCTGGGTTCTCGCAACTTGAGCTATGATTCTGTTGAACAGGCAGTCCAGCTTCAGCATGAGGGGCATCCAGCCTTATGTCTATTGTAGGAAAAACAAGGGAAAGGCTCATAATAGAGAGAGATCTAGTGATGCTAGATAGGGGAGGGAGGCTGGCAGCCACACAACATGACTTCCGCAAGAACAGGTCCTGCCAGACAAACCTTGTGGAATTCTGTGACAAGGTTTCGAGATGGCTGGATGGAAGGGATGCAGTGGATGTGGTATACCTGGATTTCAGCAAGGCCTTTGACAAAGTGCCCCATGATATCCTGGTGGAGAAACTGAGGAGTTTTGGGATGCACCAAAGCACTGTCCGGTGGATTAGGGCATGGTTGACTGACCGAAAGCAGAAGGTAACCATTAGCGGGGAATCATCGGGATGGCGGCCAGTGACAAGCGGGGTCCCCCAGGGCTCTGTCCTGGGGCCGATCCTGTTTAAGCTTTTCATAAATGACATGGAAGAAGGGGGTGAACAGTCTGCTGATCAAATTTGCAGACGACACTAAAACTGGAGCAGTGGCCACAACTGAGGAGCAGGTACTCCAGATCCAAGAGGATCTGGACAGACTATGGAAGTGGGCAGGAGACAACAGGATGGCATTCAGTGTGGATAAGTGCAAGGTCTTGCACTTGGGGCATAGGAATGGGAGTCCTAAGTACAGGTTAGGGGACAAGTGGCTGGAGAGCAGCACTTGTGAAAGGGACCTCGGGGTGCTGGTTGACTGCAGGCTAAACATGAATCAGCAGTGTGATGCGGTGGTCAAGGGCGAACGCCACCCTTGGTCGCATAGCCAGAAGTGTGGCTTCTAGATCGAGAGAGGTATTACTACCACTCTGTACGACTCTGGTGCGCCCGCAACTGGAGTACTGTGCTCAGTTTTGGGCCCCTCATTACAGAAAGGCTATAGCCAGGTCAGAGTCAGTGCTGTGCAGGGCCCCAAGGTTGGTGGCCGGTTTGCAGGGGATGCCGTATGAGGCGAGACTGAGGGAACTGGGTCTCTTCAGCCTGGAGAAGAGGACTCAGGGGGGATATGTTGGTGACATACATACAGGTATGTGAGGGGGTGTCACGCAGAGGTGGGTAGAGCCCTGTTCTCCCCTGCAGAGGAAGGCAGGATGCGCTCCAATGGAGCAAAGCTCAGGGAGCCAAGGTTCCATTTGGATGCCAGGAAGCACTTCCTGGCAGTCAGGAGCCCGAGGGTGGGGAATGGGCTTCCAGGGGGGTGGTTGAGACCCCATCGGTGTGGGTGTTCAAAGATCGACTAGACATGCGCATGGTGGGCATGTCGTTGGCACAGCCGGCTGGAGCCAGGGGTCAGACTAGATTGCCCGGGAGACCCCTTCTGACTCGCTCTGTTTCTATGCTGCTTCAATGCCCCAGTGAAGGAGCGCCTGCCCCCCCAAGGCACAGCCTGTTCCGCTGCTGAACAGCCCTCGCTGTTAGGAAGTTTCTCACATTTGACTAAAATCTGTTTCCCTGCCATTTCTACCCGTGGGGTCTTTCTTGTTCAGCCTCTGAGAACACCAGAGAAGTCTGTTCCAACTTCTTTTCACACAGCACCTGCTCAGGCATTTTTCCTTTTAGGATGCAAGCTGGTGGGTCTTGCCTCAATGACCTACTCGAATTCTGGGAGTGTCAGTAAACGGCTTTTGACAAGTCCCCCACCAAAGGCTCCTCAGCAAATTGAGCAGTCTCAGCTTATTTGTAAATGATGTGGAACCAGGAGTCAGCAGCGAAGCAGGCAGGTTTGCTGAGGACACTAAACTGTTCAGAGCAGTTACAACCAAAAGGGATTATGAGAAGCGCCAAAGGGGTCTCTCCACAGTGGAAGGAAAGGCATCAAAATGGCAAGTGTAGTTCACAGAACTGTGGAATAGTGGAGTTGGAAGAGGCCAGAGGGCCACTGGATTCCACTCCTCCCACTGGTTCAGTCCTAACCATCCAGATGCTTTCTGAGTGTCTCCGGTGAGGGTGAGCCCGCAACTTCCCCCGGTAGTCCACTGGCGCACTGCTCTGACAGTGAGGAAATTCTTCCTGGTGTCTACCCTAAATCTGGTTTCTTTTAACTTCGCTCCATTATTCTGTGTTCTGCACTCTGGGATGGCCGAGAAGAGAGCTTGCCGTTCCTCTTTGTGACAGCCTTCCAGGTATTTGTGGAGTGCTCTCCTATCACCCCTCAGTCTTCTCCTCCTGAGGCTGAACAGGCCCAGTTCTCTCCTTTCCTCATCGGGCTTTGCCTCCAGGCCCTGAATCATCCTTATTGTTCTTCTCTGTACTTTCCTAGATTTTCTGCATCTTTTAAAGACTTGGGTGCCCAGAACTGGACACAGTACTCCAGGTGCAGTCTGGCTAGTGCTGAGTGTAGTGGAACTAGTACTTCACGTGTTTTGGAAGTGATGCTTCTGTTATAATGCAGCCCAAAACCGCATCTGCCCTCTTTGCAGCTGCATCACATTGTTGGCTCGTATTTAGCTTGCGATCTGCAACAACCCCAAGATCCTTCAGCTTTGCAGTGTGGTTGAGCCACGTGTCCCCCATCTTGTAAGTGGCGCACTTGGTCTCTTGTCCCTAAGCGGAGGACTTGGCATTGGTCCCTTCTGAATTTTATTGTTGTTTCCTGTCCAGTACTCTCACCTATCGAGATTACTCTGTATCTTCTCTCTGTCTTCTGGGTATTTGCTATTCCACCCAGATTTGTTTCCACCGCAAATTTAATTTTCTTTCCTTGTAGTTCCTCATCTAAATCATTAATGAAAATGTTGAAGAGCACAGGTCCCAGGACATCACCCCATGTGTCACATCTCCTCAGTTTGAGCATGTGCCAGCCATTGATGAGCACCCGCTGAATCTGGTTTTGCAGCTAATTGTGGTTTCACTGAACGGCTGCACTATCGAGCCTGCTTTGTGCTAGTCTGGTAATTAGCAAAGGGGGGGGGGACTCTGTTAAACGCTTTGCTTAAGGCAAGATAGAGTATGTCCGGAGCATTCCCACAGTCCATTTGGGAGGCAGTCCAGTCAAACAAGGAAAGCAAGTGTACCTGCGTGTTGGGGCAAAAAAAATCTCAGCTGCAAGCAGAGGCTGATTAGCTTGGAGCGAGCACTGAGTGGTCGGCGTGCTGGGCAGCAGGACTGAAATGTCAGCCCAGTGTGCAGCTGCTGTGGGAAGGCATGATCTTCCATGTTAAGCATCATTAGGAGAGGAAGAGAAACCAAATGTTGCCCTCTGCCCTAATGCTAGAACTCTGCAGCTGCCCGGTGGATGCTCTGCACTGATGCAAGGGAAGACTTTTTCCACAGGACACAGGCACACTACTGAATTCGCTGTCGCAGCAGTGGGTGATGGCTTTACATCTGGACAGTTTCGGAGCGGGACTGGACAAGTTCAAGGAGGAGGCGGCTCTCAGGGACTACCAGCTTTGTTGCCTAAGCGTGACCGCCTTTCCAGAGCTGTATGCCAGTCGCTGCGGAGCTTGAGCAGACAGGACTATCCATCCTGCCTGAGAGATGCCCTGGGCAGCTGGTTGGCCCCTGTATAACCAGAATGCTGGACTACAGGGGAGCACAGAAACTGAGCGAGCCAGAAGGGGTCTCCCGGGCCATCCAGTCTGACCCCCGGCCAGCTAGCTCTGCTCACGACATGGACCACAGGCCTGGCTCAGCGCTGCTTTCCTCACGGTGCGACACACAGGGCTGCGGCTGCCGTGCAGAGTCCCACGTGCGAAGCGCCAGCTTACCAGCTCCTCCCGAAGCTTCAGTATGAGGTCGACCACCTCCACCTCTGACTTGTCCTTCATCCAAGCTCTGATGTTCTGTGGAAGGAATGCGCAGCAGGCGTGAGGGAAGGCGCTTCCTCCCTCGCGGGGTGCGGGAGCAACGAGAAGTCTGCAGGGCGCTGAGCAGGTGCCTGTGAGTCGCCCGGGCGCCTGCCCGGGTTCCCGCACAGAATGCCGAGCCGAAGCCGAGTCCCGTCCACGCACACGGACGCTCTGCGCCTGGCCTGCAGCTTTGCAACGGGACAGGAGCCCACAGCCCGGCGGCCCAGGAAGAGCATCGGGCAGTGGCGGAGCAGCCACACGAACCCGTCCCAGAGGGCTCCCCTGGCACGGCAGAGGCGGCTGCCGCACGGGGCCCCGCCACACAGCCCCCAAGACCGCGATGCCCAGCCGAGGTTGCCCGAAGGCAGCCACACGTGCGGCTGCCTTCGGGCACGTTGACAGTGAGCGTGCCGGGCACCCCTGAGGTCTCCACCCCCCCCCGTGCCCCTTCCCCACGCACCGCCTCGCAGATGGCCTCCAGGTGCAGGGCTTCCAGTTTGCGCACCATCTCTCTGTGCCGCTGCCGGTACCAGCCGTCAAAGTTGGGTGACCTGAAGAAGCGCCTGGGGTGGGGGAGGAAGAGGGGGCTGCAAGGCTGTCTCATGCCTCCACCCGGATGAGCCCCTGCCCAGCAGCCTGCAGCAGCGCCCAGCCCGGCGCGTCTGCAAACGCATGCGCCGGCCAGAGTTCGAGTGCCCCTCCGGCAACTGGGAAGGGCGTTCTGTGCCCGGGCCTGGAGCTGCCCCAAGGGCGGGTGGGAGGCACACCGGAGGCCAGCGAGCAGCAGCCTGCACCTCTTGTGCCAGTGCGCTGAGAAGCACGTGCAGGGCCAGTCATGCCTGCAGCATGCTTGCCGCGCCAAGAAGCCAGCAGAGCGCACGGTCCCTGTTCCATCCATTCATGTCCCCAGTGAAATGTGCCGTTGCCTTGCTTGGCACAAGCTGCTGGGCAGACCTGCACCCCCTCCTTTCCTCTGGGACCGCCCTCCATTCACTCGTTCCCCCATGTTTATTCCACTGTCTCGGTGACCTCTGGAAATAAAAGGGTGGGAAATGCAGTTGCCCACAGCAGGGCAGAAGCAGGCCTGCTCCTGTGTTGGTGACCTGCGGGGGGGGGGGGGGGGGGGGGGGGGTCCCCCCCCCTTCTCCGCGGGGGGGGCCCCCCCAACACCCCCGGCAAAAAAACCGGCCCCCCCCTTTGGGGGCCTCTC